TCTCACAGGGTCAAATGTAAAACATGCTTTTTTATTGATTTTAGGGAGAAAGGAAGGGAGAGGGGAGAGAGAAACATCAATCAGCTGCCTCCTGCAACACACACACACACACACACACACACACGTACATGTGTGTGCAATTGAACCCGCAACCGGATGTGCCCTCACCGGGAATTGAGCCACTGACCTCTTGGTACATGGGATGATGCTCAACCAACTGAGCCACACAAGCCAGGCACCAGTTATACTTTTTTTTAAAATATAATTTTATTGATTTCAGAGAGGGGGGGAGAGAGAAACATCAATGAAGAGAGAGAATCAATGATTGGCTGCCTCCTGCACACCCCCCATTGGAGGTCAAGCCTGCAACCTGGGGATTGTGCCACGACTGGGTATCAAACCATGACTTCCTGGTCCATAGGTCGAGGCTCAACCACTGAGCCACGCCAGCCAGGCACTAGTTATACTTTTGAATAGTCGTTTTCTGGTGTCTCCTCAGGTAAACTGGATGCGTCTACATGTGGCTGTTGATTGACTTAAGTACATGAAAAAAAATGTTAATTTCAAACAAGTCAAATGCTATGGATAAAAAGAAAGGTTTAGTACAATAAGTAGGTTACAAACCACTGCTTTCCTGAGTTTTCCATGCTACTTTGAGTCAGACACTCATTACCTTTTAACAAGTTACGGTTTGTTTTTTAAATACTTGATAGAAAGAAAAGAAGACTCCCTGGGTGGCGTTGGCTCCCTCTGTGGGTGGGTAACAGCGCTGCTTTGGGAAAGGAGCAGGAGGGGGTCCTCGACCATGGGTCTAGCCACCGTTGGCCTAAGAAAGCGAAATTTCAGATTTCCTAAACAGTGCAAGTTGTAGGTCAGAGACAAGACACAGGCCTTGTCCAGAAGTCACTGCTTTGTCAGAAGTCCTTGGCCTCAACAATCTGTGTCCTCCGACCTCTTACTAAAAGGAATTTTATGAGTCTGATAACCCAAAGATGGTGTGTGGGAGCTAGTAGACAGTTATACCAAACAGACAGTATTTGATGCGCAGCAAGTTGAAGAACGTGTAGATTTTTAATGTCTTGGGGGAGGAGTGCTTTTTACCCCCATTAATTTTTGGCAAAAATGGCTTTAGTGTTATTCGGAGGCTGCTACAGAGTAGAAGCTCTGTGTGGCGGGAACTGTTAGAAGCAGGCTTGGACTGAAGGCCGTTACGCGGATAGAGCCTTAGAGTGTTTAAGAATGTTCTTGATTCACCCCGAACTGACCCATGCTCAGAAATTCCATCACATGCACTTGGTTCCCCAGGGAAAGTGCATTTCCTAGATGGGACCGGCGGTGTTGACCCTGATCTCCGACATGTGCTGCAAAAAGCCTCTTACAGCGGCTTTCCTCCTGCTTCACGGGGAGGCTTGAGACCCACAGCTCCTCTCTGGGCAGGGGAGGAGCTCTGGACAGCAGTTAGAGCTGCCTCTCTCCTGAGTGTCTTGTCTCCGCTCCTTGTGCAGGACAGGCAGGCGCTGGGCACAGTCTGCCCAGTTCTCTTAACTCCCATCAGCAAGTGTGTACTGAGCTGCTTCTATTCGCGCGGCCCTGAGCCGGGCCGAGGGGGGTCACGGAAGAAGCGTCCGTGTGCTCAAAAGGTGTCTGTGGTGGCCGAGGGGAGCGGAGAGTGACGGGGAAGGAGGCTGGGAGGTGAGAGCTGTGGAGATGGTCATTATAAAACCTGAATTTGTAGCTTTGGTTACAATGAAAAGAAGCAATGCTATCAAGTAGGTCACTTTGAGAAAAATAAATCCTGGGCTTATTACTTCTTTTCCCTCATATCAAGGAAAGGGGCCGGAGGTGAGCATGCAGTTGCGGAATTATTACTTAAATTTAAAATTCCGCTGGTTCTCTTGTTAACCAAGAAGCTTTATGAGACAATCACAGTTCTGTGAGATAGTCATTCAGTATTAAATACTGCCTTTTTAAGGAAAAAAAAATTTTTTTTAAATATATTTTAATTGATTTCGTAGAAGAAGGGAGAGGGAGAGAGAGATAGAAACATCAAGGATGAGAGAGAATCATTGATCGGCTGCCTCCTGTATGCCCCACACTGGGGATCGAGCGCACAACGTGGGCCTGTGCCCTGACCGGGAATCGAACTATAACCTCCTGGTTCATAGCTCAACCACTGAGCCACACTGGCCAGCCTTGTTTATCTTTTCTTTTTTAAGTAAAAATTTTATTGTTAATTTGTAAAATTAGATTTTGCCTTAGCCTAATGCATCACTGCATAAATCATCCCCTTATTTGGTAACCAGGAAAACTTCAGGTCGTTATCTGTTTTTTGTTTTACCAACCGAAGAAGTAAAATGAATTGATGTCACTAACAGATTTAAATCCAAATCCAAATTGATACCTTGTTTCTTCAGTAAAACTACTGCAACACAATCCTCAATAGGCCTTCCTTGTGCATGGGAACAGTTCCCATCACCCTCCTTGAACCGAAGCTCTGTGGCCCAGAGAAACCATGTCAGTCTGGTGACAACTTTGACTTGTTGCAGCGTTTTGTGTTTCGTGCAGCAGGGCCTTCTGGGACTGATTTGCCGAGGCTTACAGTGTGGCGACAGCCTGGCCTCGCGTTTGCCCCCTGAGCTCCCCAAGTCTGCATGTTAGTTTGTCATCCAATTATCAGTGATAATTTTTGGATTACAGCTTTTTAGACACACATCTCTGAATCACAAGTACTACATGGAGGGAATTCCAACTTGATTCCACTGACTATCCAAGATGGTGTGTTTTAAGTTGCATTCAAAATCCTTGATTAAAAAAAAAAGCCGCCTA